TGTATCATATGGGTATAAATGATAAACAGAGACAAGCATGATATTGACTGCCCCCCCCCCCCCCCACCCCCCTGAATACTCACTATTTAGTTATCGTCACTAAAAGTCAGCCCCACCCCCTCCTAAATGACATAGTTCAGCCTACACGTTCCAAATTTTTTTTTTTTTTTACATTTATTTTTCTAATTTAACTACTAAACATTTAATGACGTCACGCTTATTATGCCAATACCCCCACCCCTCAATTATCATCACAAAAAAGTGAGTCCCTCACCCCCCCCCCCTTCCTAAATGACATCATAGTTTAGTTTACACCCCTTCAAAATTTAGGTTTTTTCTTTTTTTTATCCAACTACTAAACATTTAATGACGTCACGCTTATTGTGCCGATACCCCCACCCCTCAATTATCGTCACAAAGTCAGCCCCTAAATGAAATCATACTTCATACTTCAGCCTACACCGCCTTTCATACTTAGGTTTCATTTTCTGTTTTTAGACATTTGCGTATAGAGCTTTATGTACGCCCTTTTAACTTTAACTCATACTCGAGTCATCTCCCTTACAATGTGCAGGCTATTTAAAAACCTTATTGTCATAATGGTATCGGCTAGCCAGCGTTACATGAAAATAAGACCCAAAAAAATTGCGGTGAATACATGCTTGAATTTAATGAGAACATAATTAAAACAAACACTAATTAGCAGGTGACGTGGGCGGCGTGACCTGGCTGACGATGTTCCACTCGTTGTGTACAGGTGTGTACATCCACTGTCCCGCCGTACACAGTACAGTCTCGTTACGGCCGTCAGAGAAGTAAAAAGTAGTCGCGCATTGTGAGTGGGACGTGTTGGTCACGTCATTGGTGCTGTTGCTTGCTGACGTAACTTTAAAAAAAAAAAAAAAAGAAAAACAAATTGAAATTAAAGTCTAATTTTTAACAATACCCCCACCCCTTCTCCGATATATTTGCCTACACACTTATTATATTTATTATTACCAGCAAGGGTTTTTATAGATAACCCTACCCTCGTTTTCGACTATTAAGGTCTAGTTTGTCTATTTGGACCTGGCCATCCATATAGCAGATGAAGTAGAGTATATCTGTTTCTGAGACTTCGACTTATACATGGAAATTGTGGTCAGTTCAATGATTAGTCACTTTTTACTTCACCTAACGTAAGCCAGGTACTCATTAGAGCTGGGTGGACTCAGAGATAGCCTACGGATTTGACCTGGGTGCCAAAATCGAAATTTTTGGGTTACCGACCACATCATCTCATGTATGTGGCAGTCGATGACGTTAAGATGACGCTGTAGGTTTTTTTTTTGTTAGGTGTTGGGTCAATACTCTGGGCTATTGCTAAGGGTCAAGGTCTTTAAGTAGTGCTTAAACAAAACATTTTGGAGCAAAATCAAAACTCAAAGATTTTAGCACTTTGAATTATAATTTTGGTAAATTGAGTATCAAGTAGTCGAGCATTGGGAGTGGAAAGTGCTCAAAACGTCAACATGTGTTCATATTGGGTTTTTTTTTCCTTTTTTTACTTTCTCGTATATACGAAGTATAGAGAAAGTATTGTAATCGTGCACAAAAATCACTTGAAATTTTAACATCTTTCACCGTATTACACCTCAATCCTTCATCACATCCGAAGTTTAGAGGACTTATTTTAATCGGGCAAAAATTATCAATCCAGATTTATCAAAACTAAGAGGTTTTATGCGTAATCCAGTCTGAAAAACTGGGCTTTGCAATTCTGTCCGTATGTCTGTGTGTCTGTGTGTGTGTGTGTCCGTGTGTAAACACGATAACTTGAGTACCGTTACAGCTAGGTTGATGAAATTTCATATATAAGTATTTTATCAAAATCGTAGATCCGTATCAACTTTTGAGCGATTTCCAATAACCGGAAGTGGTACTTTTTCTACTTTGAATTTTTCAAAAGCCTATAACTTGAGTACTATTTCAGATAGATAAATGAAATTCCACAAGTAAGTATAAGATCTAATTCTCTACCTTATGTTAAATTTTGAGTAGCTTCCGTTGACCGGAAGTAGTAATTTACGCTACTTTCGATTTCTCAAAAAACTAATGTAAATTTATTAAGTACTAATACTATTGCGCACTATTATACACACCTTTATTAGGCGTTCGCTTGGTGCGCAATTGTTTTTTACTGAGATTCTATTCTATTTTTAAAAGTTTAAGTATTTAAAATGGATTAAAAATCATAACTATATCCCCAGTTACCATCCCCTGTTGTTTTATATAAGAATATTCGAGAAAGTTTAGGGGAGATCACTACCGGTTTATTTTTTGGCGTGGAGCACTGGCGCCCCGTAGCCATTTAGGTTTAGGGTATTGGTGACATGTAGCTATATAAGTGTGGGGTGCTGACGTCCAGTGGAACGCCCTAAGTGCTACCTGTAGCCATACAGGTGTGGGGTGCTGACTACCCGTAGAACGCCATCTTAACTGTAGCTATACAGGTGTGTGGTACTAGCGCCACGTGCAAAGCCCTAAGCCTTACCTGTGGCCATACAAGTGTGGGGTACTGGCGCCCCATAAAACGCCCTAAGCCTTACCTGTGGCCATACAAGTGTGGGGTACCGGCGCCCCGTAAAACGCCCTAAGCCTTACCTGTGGCCATACATGTGTGGGTTACTGACGCCCCGTGCAACGCCCTAAGTCTTACCTGTAGCTATACAAGTGTGGGGTACCGGCGCCCCGTGGAACGCCATGATCATGTAGTTGAAGGCCACCATGCCGTACAGGTAAGCCACCATCAGGTGAGTGGTCAGCTGGAAGGTTCTGCGACTGCTCAGTGACGTCATTAGCTTCTCAAGGCACTCGGCACTCGACGCCATCTTGTTGCTATCCTAGAGATCTCTTGATAAAGACTTTGGCATCTAGATGTCACCAGCATATAGATGTCATCATCATAGTGATGTCACGGTTATAGAGATGTGGCTTTTAAAAAGATGTCATTGTAGTATTTAATGCACAGTATAAATGTCAACGTGATATGTTACAATATTATAGCTAGCAGCTTTGAGTATTATAATTCTAAAGCATCTGGTCTAGAGGATACAACCATTTTTTATATAGTTGTACGCTATATATGTGAGCCTAGTACACATCTCAACATCAACACATAAAAACATCAACACACATCACAACATCCACAAATCACAACATACATACATCACACCACCCACACACATATCAACATCCACACACATCACACCATCCACACACATCACAACAGCCTCCCACATCACAACAACCACACATCGCAACATGCATGTCTAAACATCCACACATCACAACATCCTCACATCACAACATACACACATCACACCATTCACACATCACAACATACATACATCACAACATACATACATCACAACATACATCACAAAACACTTACACAATATCACTGCAGTCTCTCATATAAAGCTTATATAAACAGTAAGTAAAATGAGTAATAGGCTCATTAATCATTAATTCTAAGGCGCATTTCTGACAACCGTATTTTATGGTATATCTAAAACTTTCCAAAGTCCCGCAGATTATGAATTACATTTCTAATTAATTATTTTCTAAGACTTGTATGCCTAACTCTCGCACACAATTTTTTTTACTAATTTCTAGACAATTTAAAACCCATACCCGTGCACTTATTTCTACTTTACATTTGTATCCAAAGAACAAAAACTTTATACAACTAAATGCCCATATACGTGCCCGTAGAACAATTCCTCTAAACGTCAAAATGCCAACATATATGCCCACAGAACAATTTCCATGTAAAGGCCCGTAAAACAATTCCTCTATAACCTAAATGCCCACATATTTGCATGTAGAAGAACTCCTTCTATACAATAGAATGCCAGCAAATATGCCCGTAGAACGATTCCACCATACACCATAGTGCCCACACATATGCTTGTAGAACAATTCCTCTAGACGTCAGAATGCCCACTTATACGCCCGTAGAAAGATTCCTCCATATACATAAAGTGAAACTGTCTAGCCTTTTGTATTACAGTCAAACAAACAGCCGGACAAATCTTATCATAGAAATACACCAGCTCATTATAAATAGAAATAATTAATTAAACACAAACACGCGAATAATGAGAACTGTCTACAGACCGCCGTTTGGCAGCGGTTTCAAATTTCTGACTGTTATAAGTTCATTGTTTTTTAAGTAGCTTTTTAATTTTAGGGGCTCGAAGAATAACACCGTCAATGATGTGCTGACTTAAGGTTTCTTTCAGTCATCTCTTCATGAGGGCATTGCCCCCCCCCCCCCCCCCGCATGTAGCATTTTATGTAAAATTACCTCCCCTCCCCACATACATGGATTAACATATAAGTAATTACAATACTCAACCAAACCGTTTACCTCAGGCATATTTGGCTCGTTGAGATAATGTAACTCCCACTCCCCCCCCCCCCCACGGCTATTGCTTTAAACTGTGCTAAGATATAATACTAACGATTTGTATCTATAGTCGATTAAAAATACAGCTTGATGTAGCATGTTTTCTCTGTCATTAGCAGGTTTACGTCATGGTATCAAACCCCCTCCCCCTTGTCGGGTTTTTTTGTCAAACTTGCTCTTAAAAAGACTATTTAACACTCTAATTAACCACTTATTTAAGTGGAATTATCATTTTTCTGTATATATTTTTCTCTTTTTTGTCTTGGTGCACTTTTTAAGTACTATGAAAATATAAAAATATATTTAATTTACTGTACTTTTGAAATCTTATCATATAAAGTTTTTTTTAAAAGAATAGCATAGCTAAGTTTTGACAAAAAAATCAAAGGCATTTTCATTATCTCTCCAAGAAGAAAGTGTACATTTCAAAGAAAATATCGTAATATCTATAAAATTGAGGTTTTTTTCTTTCTCTCTTATAAAAATGAAATAGGTCGTAATTATACATTTTCCTTAAAAACGGAAAAAAATAATTTAAAAAACTACAGATTTAGGAAAAGTTTTTTATTTCCATGTAGACATTCACCAGCTTCAAATTTTTTAAAACCATTGTAAAGAGTACATTTCATTCACTGACATTGCGTACAAGTACACATCAGCTTCATATTCAAATAGAAAAAACATTTTTATAAACTTTGTAAACAAAACCATCATAATAGATGTATTCTTCACAACAAATGCTCTGTTTTCAAACACAAGTAGGCCTATAAACACAATGCTCCAGATTTTTTAAATTTTAATAAACACTCATGTCAAATAATTTTACTATACAAAATATTTTACTTTTTTTTACTCAAATTAATTTAGTTGAATAAATAGTTGTAAGTACACATAGAATACTTCACAGACATAGTGTAAAGGACATAACAGTAGGCTTGAGAGAAATTTTAAAGTAAATTACATGGACCACTAGTGCACAATCAGCTGGTCACGCAGAGAAAAGCTCAATTAAAGTAACGAAACATGGTTCAATGTAAACAAATCTCCCTAAACTTTAGGCACCAAATAAAGGATTGAACTAATGAAACATGCTTAAATGTAAACAAATCTCATTAAAATGCAGGCACTAAATAAATGGTTGCTTTAAACAAGTCTTAACATTTTAACACAGTACATCCAAAAAACAGGAAACATAAAAATGAGGAATGATGAAAAGGCACAGAAAAAAATGTTATTTTAAAAAAATACAAAATATTTTTTTTTAATTCTGGCCAAAATGTTACAATACAAAACGGCTGCCCTGTTAGATTAAACCTTGTAAGTTTTAACTTGTACACCAAGAAATAAAATTTAACTATACTCAAAACTAACTAGCTTGTATCCAAGTTTAAACGTACCATACACTAAGGTCAACTAGTTCTATATGGGAGAATGTAACAAGATTTTGCTAGACCACATCAAAACAACTTGTCATTATAATCACACTCACTAATCTGACAGATAATCCGAAGAAGGGGTTAACCCTTAATGTAGTCTAGGTTTCACCTGTTACCTAAAGCATCAAACAGCCAGACCTCCCCCTAAAAAAACCCCAGCTCCAAACATCCTTAATGAAATATAATTTTAAAATTGTATTTAAATTTGTTACATCATGTCTAATCCCAATCTCCTGTAGGTGCAAACTATTAGGATAACCCCTACACAAGGCCATTATTGTTATAAGCTTCATCAATTTATTTAGAATAAAACTAATTTTCACCCTGATTATTTAGCAAAATCAAACAACTTCAAAATAGAAGTTTATTTAACAAAAATAAAATGATGCATACCATTTCTTACATTGACAAGCAGTTAGAAAGACAAGACTTTTTCAAAAAAGCTTCCAGGATTCAAAACTAAATTTTAAATGCAAGTATTTTGTTTGTTTTTTAAACTGAAGTGATGAACACAAAAATAAAATTCAACTGGACCTATAAAGTAGTACCCGTTAACATGAATGTCTTAGTATTAGAAAAAATATGTATACAATTGTTTGTTTAAAAAGAAAGGATTATGTAAAAAAAAATTATATAAAAATGCAGAAATGTTTGGTAACAAAAACATAAGCTCCTTGAGAAGTAAACTTTAAATTTTCCTTCTCAAAATCTATTGCACAATTTTTACACAATGTTTATAGGTAGAGGGTAAACTGAGAGAGAAATTTAAAATGGTGGTTTTGAAATGAGTGAATAATTTAAATGCCAATGTGGTTACCTTTATTTGATGAGGCTTACAGTAATTTCAATGATTAATGTGGTGTGAAAGCATTATTATTAGGAGTCAATGCCCTTTAAATTTTAGTGTTACAAAATATTTTAAAATATATTATGTAGGATAAAATTTTTAAATTCTAAATGTTTTAAAAGTTTAAAAGCAAGTTTTTTAAAATGTGATTTATATACATTTTACAATAAAATGTGGTTTATCTACATTTTACAATGTTCAAATATTTTAAAATGGACGTGTGAATGTGACCAGAATAGAACAGTAGTACTTGAGGTCACATGACCTGGGACTATGTCACACTCCTCACTTACATAAGCACATGCCCCCATATACACACACACACTCATTAAACACAAACACACATGTGTGAAGCTAAACTCTCCGGGAAAGTGTATTGTTTACAACAGAGGTAAAAGTAGGTGTAAAGCTGTTGTTTTAAGGTTTGGTCACGTGTAACTTCACAAGTCAACTTCCAATTAAAAAATGAACCACACACTGTGTAGCCTACTAGTTTAAAACTGAGGTAAAATTTGTCTTTAAAGCTAATATCTTACTGTGTAAACTTCTAACTCAAAATAAAAATTAAAAAAAAAAAATACCAAACAACTTGCAACAGTAGCAAACTGACCATCAAAATACTGACCACTAAAATTGGTCAAACAACATTACTGTAAGAATTATAAAATTTTTGTAAGTTTTTGCTGGCACTTCATATAAAGCAAGCTAAGCTACATGCCACCAAGACTAAAACAACACGTGTAAAGATTACAATGTGGGAACAGGTAAAACTAGGTGCACCTTGCACAGGTAAACATTTTATAATTAGGTAAACGTGTGATCATGAAGACAATTGCTAAGTCAACACAATTTTTTTTACACTATATAAAACATAATTTTTTCCTCATAGCATGGTCACACCAATTAAAGAATCAGGCCAGTCTTGCAAAAATTGAAAAAAATCTGTACATGAACAGCATCTGCACATAACTTAATAAGGCATACAATAACAGTATGTCAGGTACACAGTTTGATTGGTGCTGACATTGATAACAACTGAGAAAATTATATTTTTTTTACATTGATAATAATGTAATTTAAAAAAATGAACAGTGACTTCCCTTACATCAAGAATGAACAGTGATTTCCCTTACATCAAGAATGAACAGTCATTTCTCTTACATCAAGAATGAACAGTGACTTCCTTTTACAATTCCTAACCTAAAATGTGTAGACAACAAATCCTTATCAAGAGTACAATTAATTGACTAGACAATGACAATCAATGTATATTGTAAAAAAATCGTGATGTGTAAACCCTGTTTCACAAGTTCAACATCGAAAAACGTTTAGTAGCATTCTCCCTCGCATATATACAAGAACATCACTCTAATCCATGCCATACACCTTCATAATGCATACATGTTTAACTTTACCATAATGCTACTCTGTCCTAATTCCTCAAAATGTAATTATCTCCCCATTCCCCAAAATGCAACAACTTGACCCCATTACCAAAAATGCAACAACTTGACCCCATTACCCAAAATGCAACAACTTGACCCCATTACCCAAAATGCAACATTCTGTCCACATTCCCACAATGCAACACTCCCATACTATTATACACTATGCAATATGCTCATCATTATTCAGAAGAACTGGAACTTTCTCCAGGTCCTTATCTGTGTTGGAGGTCAACGGATCCATCTCCATGGCATCCACGCCCATGTTCTCAGAGGGGTCAGGCTCCTTGACCACCACAGGCTCGGGCCATGCGGCCTTGTTGTGGTAGTCGATGTACCTCTTCCAGACATTGCAGATCAGCTCGGACATGACCACGTCGTTTGTGTTGAGTGCCAGGATACGCAGTAAGAAAACTCCGTCGTTGCCCAAGTAGTCTCTTACAAAAGTCAGAACGGTTCTTTTTCCATCCTAGACAAAAGATTATTTTGTGACAACTTTTCAATTTTATTAAAGGAGAACATATTTGTTATTATTAAAAAGGAAGTTTTAGCGTAAATTAGAAAGACATACACAAAGCTAACTATCTTGACTATTAAAATCTAGAGCTACAGATTTTTAAGAAAACATAATAAAAAGAAAATGTGAATTCTAAATAGGATCAAAATTCAGGGAAAGATAACTATGATTAAAACTAACCTGTGGTAGTGTCCCATCATCATTGAACACTGACAGATATTTTATAATAAACTGTATGGACATCTCTGTTCTCAAAATTCTTGTCAGCCATTCTGTCATAAAAATATTTACATGAAATATAAGTTAGTATAGGCCAAACATACAGCTGCAAGTAATTGTGAAAAATGTCACCTATATTGTATTTATAAAAACAGTGCAGAGCACACACTAACAAAGAAACTCCATGACTAAAAGAATCCATTGATTATTGATTTAAAGGGAATTTATTTTATAGTAGTAATAGTTCAAATTTCCAATACTAAATTTTAAGTTGGAACAAGACTTATACCACTGAGTTGACTAGTGACTTTATTTTACTACTATTCACAACCAATTAAATTACAATAAATGTGCACTCACTAATTAAGCTGTAGATGGTCAGTGCCAGTAGTACAAACAACCAGAACCACTCAACCACGAAGAGTTTCTCCAGCAACATGTTGATGGTCAGCAGACACTGGATCCACGTCCCTTGACCACGAGCCTGGAAGTGGCACAGGGCGACCCTGGGAAAGTGGGTGATGTCCTTCCTCTCCTGGGTCTTGTAGTAGATCTGGTGAGGGAAGGAAACTTGATTATACATGGAGAATTAAAGCACACAGAATTACAGGTAGTTATAAATATGTAAGTTTAGTAAATAATGATTTAATTAAAAAACTAAATGCTGAAGAGTGAACAATGGGTCTAGGACAGGGGTCGGCAACATTTTGAAGAGGAAGAGCCAAAAGTTACAATTTTCAAAATTTCCCTGGTTTTAAAGAGCCATTAACATTTTTTTTATTTCAAATATTTTATTTTTTTATTAAGATTATTAGTATTTGTGGACGGAGCTGGAGAGCCGCATCTTGATATCAAAAGAGCCGCAGGTTGCCGACCCCTGGTCTACGAAATCATGGAGAGAACAGTAGAAGAAGAGTGAAAAGGCTGCTGGGCTCAAATGAGTACAGATAAGGAGAGCTGCAGTTCAGTGGAGAGGTGTGGTTGCAGCACTTTGCTCCCCAGGGACCAGTAAGTAAAAACAAACTAACTAATTAGTTAACTACATACACACTTCATAATAAATGGTGTTCAAAATTGCCAAGTAACTATATATATAAATTAATCTCCATTCTCATTTGTGCCCAAGATACATTATGTAGATAAAGAAGAGTTCATCTGTTTAAACAACAACATCACTTTTAGGGGTTCATGTTTATCATCGATAAATTAATTTAAAATAGTCATAAAGGATGTCAGGGCATGTAGAATTTGTTTTAAATTATCTTCAATTTTTTTTTTTTTTAAAACCTTGCCTAAAAATCTAAAATATTTGAGCTGAAACAAGAAATTAAAATCTAAGCTAACAAACCTGAAGAGCCCTAATGCCGTAGTGCCAATAATTGAAGTCCAAAAAAGCCGTCAGCATGAGAAACTGGAAGATGACGTTAAACAAGAACAGAGCCTTCACAACCAGGTACATGGTGGACAGGTAGTTACCTGTGTTGGCCCCCATACACAACATCCAGTGCTGGAGAATCTGAGATTCACAAAAAGTTTGATCATTTATACAACAATTATTTATGCACCTACAAGAATACACATTTATTTTTACATGGTTTATTCAATTTTATTTGGGATGTTTAGTATCTAATAATGGACAAACATTTACATAATACAGTCATCTTTACACAAATACAATAAGACAAATGATTGTTCGTTTACAAAAACTAATTTCAATGGTAAGTTTATTTAAGCATAAATTTACGTTAGCTAGTCAGTAAATCACCAACACTAGAAACATTTAGGGTTAATTAGGTGCAAGAAAGGGCAATTGAAAGATTTAATTATATGCTATGTTGAGGTTTAGAAAATTTTCTAATATGAAAATTGGTGAAAAGTAAGTTTTATAATTTTCATTTCAAAGTTTCCAATAAGAAGAAAAACAATTTGTAAAAGGCATTACAGGTAAGTAAACACAAGGCAGATAGTTTCATTTTGTGTGACTATAATGCTAAGAAGTTTCAAATTCTGACTAACAAAACAAATAAAATTAATAAACACCTTTTTAGTTTGTCTGCCAACCCTGCTTTTCATGAACCAGAACGGCTTGCGGTTGATCTTCAGCCATGTCTCCAGGAACTCGGCCACGCTAGCAAACACCGTGTTCTTCTTCTCCGTGGTGTCAAAGGAGCTGTCTGATATCATGGTCACCATTTTTTCTATCTGCGTACCGGAGTACTCGTTGCACTCATTCCAAATCACGTTGGGGAACTTGAACATGAATGCCTGGTGAAAAGATTAATAAACAATATGTTACGGGAATTTAAAAATGTTTTTCATCTTTCTTTTCTTTTCTTTTTTTGTTCTTAATTTAATGTTGGAAGAGATTCCCTACAACCCAATTGAAAACATATTTGATAAAATTTTAATGTCAAGCTAACACTATGAGAGTTTAATATTTCTAAAAATAATAAAATCAACCCCCCCCCCCCTTCCGGTGTAAAATAGAATATTTTACCTGGACAAGGAAGATAACTGTAATCCATCTGTAAAAGTTTATCTCCCCTAGATCATTAGACTCTTTCACCAATGTAGCATTCAGTGGTCCCCCATGTAGAGGGTCCAGGTCATATGGCACCTGATAAAACAAAACACACATCGCATTAGGTTTTAGAGGAAATATCTGGTTTATATTTTGAGGGCAGCAATGTAATTATAAGAAAATTAACATTCAGACAAAATTGGCTGGCCTTACTTCAGAAAATGCTGAAAGGCAAATTTTAAAGTCAGCTGCAATTTGGCAAACAATTGTCTTGTTTTATTGATAAAATATTCAAAGAGTAAAATCTATTGAAAAATATTGAAACAATTTATTATTGTAGCCAGTTCAAATACTGATTTTTTAATTATATTATTGTAATTTGGCATTACAATAGTGTGTCTAAGTCTCATAAAGACTTCCGAAGAATAGCTGTTTAATAACAAGGCTTAATTTATTTTGTTTTGCATCAATAAATATTAATTGAAGTCTAAAAAAATTAACCTTTAAAAATTATTCTTCAATTTGTTTTTTTTGTCGTAAAAATCAGAGCATAGCAATACATCAGATTTTTAATTTACTTTAATTAGGTCAACAGTACACCAAGTGATTATTTTTCATATGTTTGAATTTATGTTATTAAGTTACCAGACAATTTGTATTGCAAGAATAAAATACCAAGCTTTAGGCCTGTCATTTTACATGCTAAACTAATTACTAAATGTAATTAAAGCTAGAATTGATATTATCAGAAATAATATATAGTTACTTAAGAAAAAATATTAATAAAAAAAATTAATTCCATTTAGGAAATATCCTTGAATTAGTTTTAAATAATTTATTATAATTTTAATGTATAATACAATGTATCGTTAAAAATAATAAATAGATATAGGAGAAAATAGTTTTTTTTATATAAAAAGCAATATAGGCCTACTTTATGAAATTTTTTTATTATTGTAGAAAAAAATAATCAAGATATTCATACTAGCATATTCTGTTCAAACATTTTGTAAAAAAAAAATTTTGTGAGCATATGTAAGATTTAAAGAAAGAGAAGAAAATGAAAACCCATCCAACATATGGAACAGATGTTTAAATGTCAGGCTACAACCTTTAACATGGAAACAAGGTTGTTTCTCTAGCAGTCTAAAATTGTGGCTTTGTAATGTTTCTCTAGCAGTCTAAAATTGTTGTGGCTTGGTCTCAATATTTCTCAAGCATTTAATGTTCAAACATGAACCAGATACCAAGTTTTGATGTAAGCTGTCATTAATGTTGGATCAATTTGAGCTCTTAAAATAGAAGACTCCTCCGGAGTATCAATACAATACTGTTTCATGTGCATTTATTGAATTTTATTTAATCTAAGGTTAAAAAGTTTCTTAAGATATGGCAGGATGAAAATGTTTTTCTTCTCCTTTTGTTCAATGTATAAACTATTGATGTAAGTGTAGAAATCATAATATTAATATATAATAGGTATGTAAGATAATTTTATATTTAACAGTATTATAAATATTAGTTTACTTTTTTTCTTTAACTACACAGCACTTTATACTTATTTTTAATAAGAAAAATATATAGTTTATAAATAAAAAAAGCACTGTTGTTTTTAGAGAAGTGACATTTTTGTCAACACTTCTTTAATGTCTTTTAGGCAACAAAAAAAGGCAACAAAAAATGCTTCAATGGTGCCCAACATTTAAGTGTTGAATGATTAGCATCAATTGAATATTCTACTCCAGCTGAAATAATTTGAACATCATCTGAGAGGTGTAGCCATGTTTTTAATCACAAATGAAAAACATCAGCAAACCTTAGAGGGAAGAAAAATATTTAATGAAAGAAAATATAAATTTGGTACTGATTGAAGGAAACGTCTCATGCAGCAAAAATCTGGCCAGATAGAAGCTAATTGTAAACAATTTTGTACCTAACAGTTCTAGCAGTTTATATTTTTTTTACATTATAAATATATATATATATTTAAGTTGATAAATTAAATCTTTAAAAAACGATAGTCAAAAAACGTATTATTTTGCAAATTTTAAAAAGTTTTTGAATAGATTGTAATTAAGGAATTAATGTGACTGAAATTTCAGCTGCATGATATGTTTAATGGGGTACGCAAGTGGGATAAGTTAAAAGCCCATAGGTTAGGTTCATTTTTAGAAAAAGCAACTTGTGAGTAAGAAAGCAAGAGGGTTAATGTTTCTGACTGGCACTAAAGCTGAAAAAAAACAGAGTGGGGTAAAAAGAAATCTCCAAAGACGGAGAGCTAAATGTCGGCCAGACAAAAATGCGTGGCTACCTCGGAATGGTTATCTGCATTGGGGAAGCTGTAAAGTTTATGGGTCCTGCAATAGTGATTGGCATGCTCCTGGAAGTGCTTCATGGTATAATTAGGGAGCCAGCAATCGAGTGGGCCCTCCGTGTTCTCTTTGATGCCCACAATGATCCCAAAAGCAGCGAACAAGAAAGCCGTGTAAAAATGATGAAGCTGATCAACCAAATCATCGTCCCTGATCCTGGACTGAAAATTCAGGAGCTTCAGTGATGAAATCACTTTCTCCATGTTTGATCAATACCCTGGTAAAACAAAAAAAATTTAAAAACATGAGACGGGAATTTGATAAAACAAATACCTTAGACATGTTATCTTTATCTGGGTATCGGTACAATTTATGTGTCCAGCAGTAGGTGTTGACGTGGTCCTGGAAGTGCTTCCAGTTCTGGGAGGTCACCCAGCAGTCCAGTGGCGCCCCCATGTACTCCTTCAGGCCAATGATGATGGCGAACGAGGCGAACATGTACACGGTGACGTAGTGGTGGAGCTGGTCGACGGTGTCGTCGTCGCGGATTTTTTCGCGGATGCGAAGGTTGGGTAAACTGCTAACTAAACTTTCCATTTTCATACTGAAATAAAAACAACAGAGGCAAATCTAATACACATACCATACCATCTGTTGACTTTTTAGGTTGAAAAAATATTTAACACTGTCAGATTAACTTTCACAAAAATAGTAATTCTATATAGGCCCTAAAAAAAATAATTCATGTAGGCCTAGGCATTATTGAGGTGAAAAATGAAATGCAATTGGACATTTTCAGCTTGTTATCATGACTTTAAAGAATATATTATAAGAACTTTTACATTCTGAAATCGAAGTTAACTTCAATTAGGCCTAGACCAATAGAATATTTAAAAGTATTGATCTATTATAAAAGCAATTTTACAAACTATAGGCCTTCTGTACAGCATTTTTAAACTATTTAAATTTAAACAAAACAAATGTTTAGTCCTAAAACAAATAAAAGCATGTAAAATATTAGAGTAGCTTTGGGCTTAAAGTAAAAATCCAGTTAACAAAAATGAGCATGCAAAATTGTGGTTGGTACACAGACTCCTTTACATGTTACAAAATAATGCTTTAAAAAAAACATAGGCCTAAGAGGCATTAACTGATGAAATAGGCCCCAATATTATGCACAGTCAAAAATCTTTAGTTTGTTTTATTTTTTCCCTTGAATTTCGCAAGTTCCCTCCCACTAAATGACATCTTTAGTCCGATCTCCACTTCACTCGGTCTTATAAAAAGAACAGGATTATTTGAATTTTTCCTATCTAAGATATTTAATAGGCCCTAATATATATTTTATAATCAGTCATCACACCTAATTTAAACTAAGTAAACTCCATTCCTAGAGAGGTGCTCAGCTTGTTGATTCAACGAAACGAGAGCACGCAGATCGTCACATTAATTAAGAACTTGTTACCCCCCCCCCCCCCATTTAAATTTAAAAAAAAAAAGCTAACTTATGGGAAAAAACATATTGGCATGAGGCGATAAAATGTCTGACGTATTAAGTACCAGAACAGAAAATTAGGCCTGCTAATAGTAAGACCTAGGCCTACTGTGACTAATTATTTAATTAGCCCACAACATAAAGCTAGGTCTAATTGTAGCAATTACAAGACATAACTACACAATCACACAAACCTCACCTACACAAGCTCAGCCAGATAGAAGATGGTTTGTTATGCCTCTAAGTAAAGCTGTCTATTCTATACTGTTACACAAGTTTGAACATCCCCGTGGTTTGACCACTACACAGCTACGACACGCTTGACCACTAAACAGCTACGACACGCTTGCCCGCGTCGGCCAATACGCGAGACAAACAAATTCTATCAAGGCCGGCCCTACACACGGAGTATGACTAACACAATATCGTCTGCTCCGTGTAGCGCACAGCACCCTGGGAATCTTGCTAGTTATCCCGCCCCACCACTCCCCCCACCCGGTCACATTGATCCATCCCATCAGTGGCGACCGTTAAAAAAAAAGACGATCACCACGCTTCACTGGAATGCCACGCTATAATTTTTTCATACTGGTGGGGAAAAAACAGCCGCCTTGCTGAAGTCCGCGTTCCCAGTCCAGTCATTAGCCCCGCCCCATCCAGCGGACAGCCAGCGTCCGCCCCCTCTCCTTCCCAAAACGGACACAGTGTCCATTCAAGAATGTGTGACAAGGTACGCACTGACCGACCCTTTTGTATTCCCTCACAACGAGAGTCTAGCACACTTGGAGGACAACAACACGCTCGTCACACAATAGTTGTTTGAATAAAGAACGTTAAGGTTTCGCTTTAAGATTTTCTTTTCACAGATCATAAGAGAGGGGGAAAACCTAAAATAGTTTTTATGTCTTAAGATTCCTACAATTTACGAGATCTAGATTCAACTGCTGATAAAAAAAAATCTAAACTATTTTCTGTCTTTAGAATACTAAAAATTACTAGATCTAGATTCCACAACTGATAAAAACAAAAAAAAATCTGTAGAAAAAACACACACATTGCCTCTGTGTTTACGGAAAAAAAAACGTACGGACTACTTGGCAACAAGCCAACCACTGGCACGAAAGCAAAAGTAAATATATTCACATGCGATGTTTTGTCCTTAAACATTTTAAAACATGCTACAATTATCGCTTTATGAACACTTAAAGAATGATATCATAACAAAAGGTTTCATCTCTAAAAAAAGTAAAAAAAAAAAAAACAAAAAAAAAACCCAAAAACTGGAGGATTTTCCTCAGGCAGGACAATAAGCCAGATAATTTCTTATCAATTGGGAAAATCCGAAAGCAAATTGTTTTACCAACAACGAGGTTTAGCCAAAATAACACTGCGAATAAATTACGTGTTTTTACAACATAAGGGGAAAGGCTAGTTGATTAGATTAATCTCCCTGAAATAAAATTAGGCTTAGATAAATCTTCAGAATTAATTAAGGCATTATTAAAATCTGCATATAATCTGGATAAAAAAACTGTTTAATGTCTCAAAATAAATTCTAAGATAAAAAATAATAATTTCACTGCTAAAATAAAATATATACCAACATATACATCAATATTTTAATCATAAAAAGCTCATTACACTTTCTTTTAAGCAGTATTTGTGCAAGTAAAAGCTAAACTGCAATGGTGCAGAGGTATCATGCTGTACAACACAAGTGGCTTAACTAAGAGGGGTGTGTGTACTTAAAATCCCCACTTGGCACAACAGGGTGTAGCTAAGCTCACACCACAACACCATGCTGAGTATACCAGACCTAGCCATTTTCCTATAAGAGTTCCCAGACTTCAAGCAACACAGGTCCTGACTGGGTCATGAGGGGAAAGCACTGAGCTAAGACAAACAAGTTGGAGTTAGTGAACATGTGAAGCACATCTATGGCAGTCTATGCCATCCTGAGAGGAACACTTCAGGTGCACCAGTCTACACAGTGTACGTCTACACAATCTTCAGCGTACAGAATCCTATGTGTATGTTTCCACAATCCTAAGTGTACAGAATCCTAAATGTACAAGCGTACAGAATCTTATGTGTATATCCTTTTGTTTCCACAATCCCCAAGTGTACAAATTTATAGAATCCTATGCGTATACACTATTACACTTCCACAATTCTAATTGTACAAGTGTATAGAATCCTGTGTATGTAAGTGTACACAAATACTGACTGTAAAAGTCAACATAAATATTGTAGGTACAAGTATACACAATCATGTGCACACAATTCTAAAATCTGCATAAAATTTACAAAATCCTGTGTGAAAACGACAACACAATCCTAAAAATACAAAACCCTATGTGTACAAATCCATGGTCCTATGTGTATGAATCTATGCAGCGAGTGTGTATGTCTACATAATCCTACACATACATCTCAAAAGTATCACACGAGTACAGGCTGTTCACCAGCCCCCATAGTGTGCAAGTCTACATTATCCTACAAGAGAAAGAGTGACTCCCCATTGTGTAGCACAGACAATTACCTTCACCCCACCCCCACAAGACTGGCACGCCACCAAATATATCAGCTTCAAAGCTATGCAAAAAATACAATAATACGATTATTCTTTATTGCCCCCCATCCCCGCAGCTTATATTGATTATCACTAACCCACACAGTTCGGCATAAGGGTGTGTTGTCTATAAGAAAAAAAGGGGAGAGAAAGGCAGCTGTTCATATAAATCTTTCCAAATTTTTTATCAGTATTAAACATTTAACAGATATGCCATCCGCACACAAAGAAAGAGAGAGGAAATGGCTGTATAAAAAAAGTGTGCATGATTAATTTTCTCGATTTTCAGTGCTGTCATTCAAACTCAACAATCTAATTGTTGCTGTCATTCAACATTCTCTTTGCTGCTGTCTTTCAAAAATCTATTTTCAACAATTTGTTTGGTAGTGTCACTCAACATTCTAATAGCTTTAATAAAGAACAATATAATTTTCAATATATGGTGCATAACAATCTCACATAACAAAACACAAATCACTATACAAACCACTATCAATAGAAAACCTAATCATATTGAATAAATATTACATCAATTTCAAACTTCCCCTATGTTTATATCACTCAGTTTATTTTTAGAATCCACTGACCTTACCAAAGTTAGATAACTCTTCAATTGTTGACATCAGCCAAACAAAAACAACTAATGCAATAAAGCTGATCTAAAAATAGTCATGACAAACTGACACAAAACAAAGTTATCAGTAGAGGCTGATTGTAAAAAAATATTAAGTCCAAACATTTAACAAACTGAACATTTTTTTTATAATACACTCCCCCCCCCCCCCAACCATGTGTAAACCAAAGTAAAATAAATACAATGCTGTAATGTCACAACCATCCTGTAAACAAATCAGTTTCACCACCAAAAGCTTTCCAAACAATCCTCGAAATTGGTCCAAACAGATCATTATCACTAATGAGTGGCTCATTAGAGCTGATGTGATTTGGATTGTTTGCGGTGAGCAATCAAGACACAGACCACAATTAAAAGTAAATGAGTGAGGGGCTAATTAAATGGTGAATGGCTAATGAAAAAAGGATTGTGTACACAAAATTCACATAATAAAACAAAATTACAAAACATTTAATATTTTTTGAGAGTGGATTTTAAAGGGTATAATTAATGGGATACACATAATTATCCATAGCTGGTGTCACACCCCCCCCCCCCCTTTCAATTTCAATTAACTCAAATACATGCCTTTTCCCATAATTTAACCTTTTGAAAACCTCAATCCAATTATAATGTACTAACCTGTTATAATGCAGAAAATTAAACAAAATGAAGTTAAATGATTTTAAAATCCATGTTATGATACATGATAATGATTTTTAAAAGTTATAAGTTTAGAATTTAGAAAATGTAGGCCTAAGTGCAGGCAATTTAATATACAAATATTTACTACAAGGATAGTCAGTCCACATTTTGAGTTGACACTTTGTATCTCTAGCAGTCACGAGACAAGAACAAGATCCGAACCCAAGCCCTTTTGGGCTAGGAGTAAGGTTCTCTACAGTAGATCTATACCTCATGCCTGACTGTGACTCTCATTTAGGAAAAGTCACTGAGGATGGTTGGGATAAGCACTGACCACTCATTTTATATGCTGAGGTCAGAGAAACAGAGGGGCTCTACTTCATCTACCCAGAGTTTCTTTCAGGCATATCTTCATGTCGGAGGGGGGGGGGGGCGAGACTAGATCTAGTCATTTAGTAAATCTGAAAATCATAGTCATAGGGCCTATTGGCTATACTATACTCTATCTATACTCTTTTATTAGGCTATATAGCCAGCCTATGATATAGGCTCCAGAGTTTCTTCCAGGCATCTCTTCGAGTGGGCTTTGCCCCCCTGAAAAAATTCTACCGCCCCCCCCCCCCCCCCCCCGGATGAAATGAAATTTATATAATTTAGGCCTATAGAAAATATACTTTTAACAGTGTCTGCCCCCCCCCCCCCCCCTCCCCGAGAAAAAAGTCTGGAAGAAACACTAATAGGCTCTGTGGACTGGTAGTCTAGTATTAGTAGGCTAATGGCTAATACTAATAATATGATAATACTATGGACTTAAAACGCCACAACAGTCAGCTGAGTAAGGAATAGTTTTTTTATAGTATTGATCGAACTACCTTCAAAGCCTTCAGTTACTTTATTTTATTTAGCCTAAGTCTTAAGTAATAAGTATTATTAAGTAATATTAAGTATTGTAAGGTAAGCGCATGCCATACGACATACGATGCTGTCGATACAATCCTCCATAAAAATACAGTTAGGCCTACTGTTTAAATTTTGGATGATTATGATAGAGACAGTTATCAAAATCAATGTAATCTAGAAACTAAAGTAAAGATTTAATTAAACGCCTTACCACCGCCGGGTTCCTAGCACACAACCGAGTACACAGAACTCAGCATGTACACAACCCTCAGCCTCTCCTCATTTAACAAGTGCGTCTCTGTTCTAGTTAAATATAAGCCTCGCGAGAAGGTAGCCCTACGGTATATCTTTTTTTTTTCACTGCGCCACTCTCCGCAATGTTAACTTAGCGAATGAAAAATGAAATACAGCTCGCGTTAAAAATAGTTTCGCATTTTTACTTTTTTAAAACATTTATAAATTATTTTATTTATTTATTATTTTCGAAAAAAAAAGAAAGAAATAGGATTGTTTTCTTTTGAAATAACAACAATTTTTGTTTAAACTTTAATAAAAGAAAACATGGTACGGGCCATTTTGATAAGCCAGTTACAAATTTATTTAGTCAGTGGCGGATAATCAACTTTTGGACCCCCTCTTATCTCCGTTGGGGAGCATTCGCCCCGTTGTTTTTTTTTTTAAAGAATAGCAGGAGTTGCTCCCCTGGGCTTCTAACGAGATTTTTTCTATCGAAATTTCAAGCTTTAATTAATAGTCTACAAATTATTATATCTCTAGAACATCTGAACTCCGGGTGACACCATTTAGGGGGGTGACACCAAGGCAAAAAATAGCAAAATATATAGAGAAAAACTTGAGAAGGGTGCAAATCGAAAGTTTGATGGGGGTGGGGGGTGGGGTGCAAATCGAAAACTTGAAATTTTGTCCCCGGGAAGGGTCGCTACGCCTCTGGGGGGTGACACCATTAAGTGCCGCACCGGGTGACACCCGACCTCACTACGCCACTGACTCTACTTTACCTGCCTACATGGACATCCTCCTACTTTGACATTATATCTACCTTGTTTTAAAAATAATTAAACCTCTAAAAGATATATCAAATGGGGATGGATTGTTCATATCATGAGAAGGGGAGAAGACAATATCGCGAGGAAAACCTTAGACTGGAACCCCCAGGGTAAGAAGAAAGTGGAATGGCCAAGGACATCCTGGAGAATGGCAGTAGAAGATGAGGCAAAGGCTGCCAGGCTTTGGTAAGCGTAAATAAAGAGAGCTGCCCAAAAGCGGAAAGGCGTGGCAGCAGCCGTTAGCTCCCCAAGGGCCATAAATGAATAACTCAGGTCAAAAGATACATCTCTTTGTGCCACTTTTAACACTAGCGACGTGGTTCAAAGGATTAGAATTACACTAAAATAACATGAACTGTTCAACATCAAACTCGATTTTATTAGTGGAGTACGCCGATGCAAGTTTTTAAGTGTTAGTCCACTTGTTACAAGTTGAAGTGTGAGGGGGACACTTTATATTTTAACTGCTAGCAGGTGGATAGGCGTGCGTGAACATTGGCGTGTAAAAATATCACGACACTCATAAGGCACAAATACACACACGTGCACATACACACATGGGTACGGCGTGGCCTAGCGGTAGAGCACCACACTGCTACCCCGAAAGTCTCGAGTTTGAAACCGGGTTCAAGTCAGTAGATCTTCATTGAGTCCAGCCAACTCTGATGAGTACTTAAATTAAAGGCTGTGCATAGGGCTGACCACACAACAAGGCTACAGAAACAGGTGAACTCTACTTCACTTGCTCCATGGACCATCAGGTTCGAAAAGGGAAGTTTACTGATACTTTACTTATACTTATACACTAAACAAACGAGATTATGAGAAGCTGATGACTGCAGTATAATAACTATAAAGGTTGTATGAGACATACATCAACACATAGTCAACGCATATATACACACTCGCCTATATAAGCTTCACACACACACTCACTCAGGCATACGTATACACACACTAGCCCATCAGCCTAAACCGAACACACCCAAGCCCACACCTACATGAACCACCTACACTAAAAGCACTGAATTACTTGTCATAGCTAAATGAGGAAGTTGGTCCGTGGCTCTATGTTCAAGTTGTGTGCGGTGTACATGATGAGGTAAAACATTAATCTCTCTCACACACGCATACACTACACACACACACACAGACACATATACACACACACAGTAAATGGAATACAAATAAGCGGAATAAAAACACATAACGCAACAAAACAAAGAACCCATTAATAAGAAACAAACAAAACATCAAGACTGCAGGTATTTAAAAAAAAAAACGCGTGTGAGATGAAAGATGAAGTAAGGAACAACCGCCTTCCTACAAAATTATTAACCAATGTTGACACGTGTTTAACGCTCTCTGTGATGAGCCGGTGGGCTAGAGTTTAATCAAATACATTAACTGTCCACTCGAGTTTGTCAAGACAAAAGCATTTCTACCAGAGTGGTTGGGGGGGGGGGGGGGGGGGCAGAGTGGTTTGGTGGGGGGGGGGGGGGGTTGGGGGGTGATTACGATTTGCTTAGGACTTATGTCTAAATATATCTGTAGGAAGAGGGCGCGCAAAATGCGAGCAATTTTTTCTTTTCACCTTCTATTCTGGGGGTGGTGGGGCATGTCGCCATGATTTCCGCTCCCCACTCTCCCAAAACGAAATAGAACAAAATATTAAAGTTATTTAGAAAATATTTACTTTAACCATTGTTTCCCCTGCTGGTAGTTTCAAGCGCCCCTTCCTTTTATTTTGTTTTCGATTTTAGTAATTTTACAATCTTCTCACACTCCTGGTATTTAGCCCACCCCACTCCCCACCCACTCCCACGCCCTAGCAGGAATAAAAGTATTTCAACACACCTTAAGTTTAACTTTTGCCTATGCTAAAGAAAATAGCAGTGTCGGTTGCGGATAAAGCCGCTGTAAAGAAATTGTTTAGAACAGCATATTGAAAACAACAACACATCTAACTGTTTTGTTAGGTATTGTCAGCTATTAATCTGCCAAACAATGAAAGCTCCAAAGGGAGATAATCCCAGCCCAGGCAACCCCCCCCCCGCATGTATTACCAAAACGTGCATTTAATTAGCTACCAAATATTTTTTATTTAACTCTTTATTTCCAACATGACACGCCTACGCCCTGTCACTTTAACCAGCAGGCAATCATTTCAACCTGAGCTTCTGAAGGCGAATTTTTGGCATATTTTTATTTTGGCACGTTATTTATCCTGGCATGTCATGGCGACCCAGGGCTAAGTGTTGGAGGGTTTAAGTTAGGGTAATCTTAGGCTTAGTGTGTGATCAAGAGATCCGAACTCAAGACTTTCGGGTTGGGAGCCGAACGCTCTATCACCCAACCACCGAGTCCCATAAATGTAACATTGGAAGGTTATCAAGCCCATCATCGTAGACTTAATAAAAAAAGTGGTCTAGAAATCAGTAAACCCTACACCACCACTTCAACATATCTTTATATCTTTATTGCTTGTAAGATTTATGTTTCCTGTGCCATCACATGACATTTATACAATCGTGACAGATGTTGGCAATTAGCACACCAGCTCACCTATCCTCCCACCTATCTACTAATTAGTATATTGACTCTAGGCCCCGCCCATGTATTAATCAAGGCTATCAGTCACAAAATATAAGCCACGCCTTTGTGCTTATACCATTCATAGCTAGATCACGCATAACAAGATTACACATAGCTAGATCACACATCAATAGATCACACATAACTAGATCACACATCAATAGATCACACATCAATAGATCACACATAACTAGATAACACATAGCTAGATCACACAGAATTAGGTCACACATAAATAAATCACACGTAACTAGATCACACGTAACTACATCACACATAGCTAGATCACACATAAATACATCACACATAACTAGATCACACATAAATAGATCACACATAAATAGATCACACGTAACTACATCACACATAGCTAGATCACACATAAATACATCACACATAACTAGATCACACATAAATAGATCACACATAAATAGATCACACGTAACTAGATCACGCATAGCTAGATCACACATAAATAGATCACACACAACTAAATCACACAGAACTAGATTACACATAAATAGATCACACAGAACTAGATCACACATAAATAGATCACACATAAATAGATCACACACAACTAAATCACACAGAACTAGATTACACAGAACTAGATCACACAGAACTAGATCACACATAGTTAGATCACACATAAATAGATCACATCATATCATATATAACATCACTCACAACACCACACATAATCACCGTTTGTTTGAAGCAAGTCTGTTACGCATCATATAGACTTACAAATGTATGACTCACAAATTTGATTACGTGTGTCAAACTTTATTTCCCACATATAAAGTCTGTCAAACATGTCGCATGTAATGACGTCACTCTGTCACACATGAACTCACACATTTAATAACGTCTGTCACACATGAACTGTCACATTTAATAACGTATTTAAAACATGAACGGTCACATTTAATAACGACTGTCACACATGAACTGTCACATTTAATAACGTCTGTCACACATGAACTGTCACATTTAATAACGTCTGTCACACATGAACTGTCACATTTAATAACGTCTGTCACACATGAACTGTCACATTTAATAACGTCTGTCACACATGAGCTGTCACATTTAACAACGTCAGTCACACATCAACTCACACATGTCATGCAACACATCGACTCACACATGTGCCTGTCATACAACAGAGTACTCACAAGTCCACCATATCCTGCTGGCACCACCATACTTCCAACAATGCCAGAACTTCCACATCTCACTGGAAACAAATCTACCTGTATTACGTCACACCTGGGGAAAAGAGGACCATTGACTCACGATGCCTTCAAATCTACTCACACCCACCTGTTTTCCACCCGCTTTCCTTCTTTACCCTCCCCTCCCAACCTTTTTCTTCTATGGTCCATCCTTGATTCAACAAGATCAACATGTGAGGGGAGGGGGGGGGGGTGGTGAGCCACTGAATGATGTACTCATTCATGTATTAGGACACATAAATCTAAAGCAGGACTGGGTATGTTCGTGCTATCTGAGGGAGCGCCCCAAAAATGACGTCACGTGACTTGAGGCCCAATTTTACTCACCTAGCCCTCTCAGCCACACCTTTCACTCACCCCTCTCACAAAGCACTCACCCACCTCCCCTTTCACCCCCCCCCCCCACCCCTTCCCACCCCATTGTCAACCAC